GTGCGGCTCGCCTTCCTCGTTATCCCACCCGGGAATAGGAGTGTCAGACTCGTAGTCAACCACCTTCACATCCTCAACGAGGTCACTCGTCAATGATAGCGTGCGCGGGGCGCGACGCTCGGGATCATCGAGCCAAGGATTTACATCCCTCGATGCCGCGGACGCACTGTCTGACATTGCACCACGTGCGGGAGACGAAGTTGGGCTCTGCTCGTGTGCGCTGTCAGAACCAGCAAGACTTTTTAACTTCAGTGTCGTTGACACAGGGCTCATTGAGCACGGAAGTCGTTTTGTTTCAACGAACCAAGTTGCAGTGTCTAGCGGACATGCTCGCCTCGTTGAGGCAATAATTGATTGGATTTGTAAATGTTCTCAATCTTAATGGGGGAGAGTGTAACGGGGTTACACGTACTCTGGTAACAGGGGTGTGTCACACGAGATGGACATGGTGTGACGCATTCAAATAAGAATATGGTACGTGGCTGGATAGCCAGTAGTTATGCATGTTTTAGATTTCACTATATATATTTAGTAACATCTATACGTTTAAAATTAGGTGGCTGTGCTACAGATGAAACAAATGAATACAGTTTACATTTAAACGGATGAGTCTATTAGCCTTATGATAAGGTTCTAACTACTCTTGGAGGTAAAGGATTGCGATCCGCTACACTCGTATTGGTTTTTGTGATGATCTTTAGGTCGGTGACCTAAATTAAGCTTCTCTATGCGCAAAGCTACGACAGCCCCGCTGCAGTACGTGTAACCCGTTACAACTGTCGTGCACCACAATACGTGCACTTGTCCAAAACACAAATCTTTATGATTATTTGAATGTCACACTACACTTAATTGAAAGTAAGTATCCAAAAATATCAATGCATTGAGAACTTTATAGATGATGAGACACTATGAAGGCGAGGTCCATGGTACACGTGAGCTGTTTGCCTCAGGTCAAGCAATAGAACTAATTAAGCATGTGATGCAGTTAAACTATAATAAACTTCATCCAAATATAAGTAATGTCTGAACTACAAGTGCAAAGGTATATATATCCTCCCTAGGCTCTTGATTTGCTCCTGGGAGAAGCATTTGAGCCGTACTCCATTCATCTCCACTTTGAATCAAACTTTTCTTTGTGCCAGGTGCACAGCAAACCTACCGCATTTTGTAGCACCTGTTGTCAATCCGACGACTGAGTAATGAAAATAGTGAAAAGTGAAACACAATTTGATTGGCTATCTGCCCTTGAGAAAGCTAGCCACGCGGAAAAAGCTTATAGAAATACAGGGAGTGAATTTATTAAGATGGGGAGTGATTTACAATGTTTAAAATCTGCTATGAAAATTTATATTTTATTGATTAGACTTAAAATGCATTTCAGACAACATCACTTGGCTTGAGTGAGCGGGCAACTTTTGTCGTCTAGATCAAGCTAATCTTCCAAATCACCTCTGTACACAAAAGACTTATTTGGCAAAAAAAACTATGGACAGAAATATAAAACGTGAGCCGTATCTTACTACGGTGTAAAAGTTTGTTTAATTGTGCAAAAAACTATATGACATTAGTGTATCATGCGAAATGCACTTCTGTGTATTGTTTACATTGCAAAATACGAAAGTATTGGTACGGATGAGGTGGAGTGGATGCTGTATTGGAAGGCTATTAGCTCAGCGTTACGCGATATATATAACTGCTTAGCATAGTAAAAACAGATGCTTTTGATATTAGACTCAAATCTAACGGATTTTCACGAATAGAAGACCTTCTACTATTACAAGCCCCCATCGAATTTTCGACAATGTTCTAG